AATTAATTTGAGAAAACCCGATGGCAAAATTTCATAGTGGTTTGTGGTGGATGCATAACCCGACCCATATTCATCTTATCGGTCTGGACCGAATATGAAGAGTCATGTATTTTGGGGGTTTTCCCTCTTATATACAAAGGTTTGAGTCTTGTGAGAGAGGAGTGAGACATTGGGTGTATTTGGGTCTTAGGGTTTTTACCATGAGAGTACAACTCTGTATTTGTTCTCCATTACCTACTACATAGTAGATTTCTATTCCTCCTTCGCCTGTGAACGTAGGCTATAAGCCAAACCACGTAAATCTGTGTTCTCTATGCTTGTTTTCTCTTTATCTCTGTTTTGTTTTCGCTTGAATGCCATTTCGAATCTGTTTTCTTGGGGTTTTTCTGCAACAGATATATATAGGATTCCTTGTCATCGAGAAAACAAAAAGATATATTCTAAACTAAGAATAAAACCACTTTTGAGAGTCAAACGATCAAGACCAATGGCTTCAACTTTAGATTCTATCCCATTTCGCATGGAGATGATTCTTTGTTGGTTATTGGCCTTCCATTGGTTTAGAAATTCCTGCATGGAATTACAAATGTGAATTGTGGCTCCTGTGCCAACCCACCAAGTATTTGATGGGGCAACGGCTAAATGAGACTTAAAACACACTTGAGATAGGGTGCTACCTTTCTTTGTCAGCCATTCTTTGTAACCAAAACAGTCTTCCTTTACGTGGCCTCTTTTGTGACACTAGAAACATGCCACTCTCTTTTTCCCGTTTGGCTTACATGCTTGACCATTGCTAGATTCTATAGTCCTTTTCATCTTTTCCCCAAATCTCTTGAACTTGTTATTTCCTTTTGTTAATCCTTGAATTCCCAGGTGTGCACCCTCGGGTCTATTTTGTCAGATTCTTTCTTCTTGTGCACACTTATTGATCAATTCTGTCATCTTCCATTTCTCTTTCTGAGCGTTATAAGTTGTCTTAAAGACATCAAATTGTCCAAACCCTTTAGTTGGCTTTCTATGTCTGAAATTTTCAGGATGTGTTCTCTTATACCACTATGTCCATCATACTTCATGGTCTCTAGTTGGGTTATGAGTGTGATGGCCAATGATTAGGTGGATGTTGTTAAATGCTCTCCAATTGCTTGAAGATAATCCTTGGCTAATGGTTTATTTGGGATATCACCTCTAATCCTTGGCTAAGCCTATTAGACTTTTCCCATCCTTCATATGCTTTCTTTTCCTCTTGGAGGGGCATCAATCCTAAAGGTCAAATCTAAATTACCAATTCCTAGATTAAATAGGGTGTCATCTTTTCAATCCGAGAAATTAGACCCAGTTAGGGTTTTCACACTTCCAGATAATGCACCCAAAGTTTCCATTAAGCAAAATAATCATTCACATACATGCTATAGAATAAGCTAGAATAATAGTTCAATTGATGGGGATGTCAATTAAGCTAAGTTTTCTAGAATTAATGAATGTGCCTCGAGACCATCAATTCTGAATGGAATCAATTGGCCATTTGACAACCTTTCCTTTGGGCCGAGACCATCACATGCCAGTCTCCCACTAGTTAACTGTAAACCACCTAATTTCAAAATATTTTCACCTTTGGGCAGAAGATACCTCTCAATTAGATTGCTTACATTAACCATCTCAATCCATTAAGTTGATTGGATGATCCCAATGACCCACCTTTGGGCTCAATCAAATGCCAAACTACAGTCCCTTATTTGTAATGAATGCCTTTTGTACTCAAAACCATAAAAGCCTTCATGAGTGTGACTAGACAAAGAATCCAGCTCAAATGGCTTCACTACATGGGACTGTTTAAGTTGATTCAATTCCTCGCATGAATCAAAAGCATATATGCATGATCCTCTCTAGTAATAACAACAATGAGGCAAATGATAATATGTCATGCAACAACACATCAAATCATAAAATAATATGGCATAAGCATCTATTAGTTAAATATAAAACATTATCATGCAAATTTATGTCAAATCAATGGGAAAATATTGCTAACTTATGGTCTAATAGATGAACCTGTGCCCAAAACAGATCAGAAATTTATCAAATTTTGTCAGGATGTGACCCATACCATTACTGAACCATGGGAAAAAAAAAAAAAAAAAACTGGAGTCAGATTGAGTTCCAAAAACCACTGAACCGACCTGTTAAAGTTTCTGATTTGTTGAACTAGGGCCGAACCACAAGGTTCTGATGTGAACCAGGGTGTGGGACCCACATGAATAGATTCAGAGTGGTTTAAAACCCCGCTATACGAAATTTCATTATAAGCTAAGCTCTCTAGGGCCTTGAACCGACCTGTTCAATACTTTTGGTCTGGTCTATCTCGATTTGGACCGGTTTGAACAGTGTCGGTTAAATCCGACTTGCCAAGTTGACTGGGAGTAACTCGCCGGGTAACTCGTCGGGTTGACCCGCTCAACTCGGTTCGGGCGAACCGGGTCTGACGCAGACAGGCCTGGAGCGTCATCTTCTCAGGCGACATCTGACCTGGTTCTGAGGAAGGGGAGGCTAGTATCCCTATTATTGCAACTCCGGCCACCGACAACCGCCCAGAATTGATCGCCGATGGTCGGAAGTTCTGTCTGTAACATATCACCACCAGTTATGGCCTCGTCGACCTGCGGTGAAAGTCTGTTTTTGTTTTGAAAAACATCTCTCACCGACTTTATAAATTGGTTTCTTTGCATAAAAATTGCCCCAAAATGATCGAAAAGCTTACACATACTTAAATCTAAGTTCAAGCATGTATTGAGTTCCGAAAAAAAAAACTCTTAAATAGCACAACTGAATGCAGAATAATTGACTTAATCCCGTTTCTAACTTGCTGAAATCAACTGGGAACTGAAAGAATGTGGTTGGGTTAGTTACCTTCCATTGTTGAATTCAAACTGAACTATGAATGGGGTTGAATGAACTCTGAAAAGGCAGTCTCACTGGATCTCTTCAGTCCTTTGTGCTTCTAATGATATGTAAGAGCTGGGACCCCTTGTGCTTATATAAACTCTGAAACCATGAACTCTCTAGTTAGCAAACCAAATCCCATATAAATCAATGAATTTAATCTAGTAAAATTTAAAATTATAATGAGACCATTGTTCCATCGCCAACAGTTCATCCATTTGATTATAAATAAACCTCGTCTCATCCATGCTCTCTAGACTTCATCAAATGCACCAGAACCAATAAGCAAATCCTTATTGAAATTGTTTGTCACAAATAGTATGTCAATAAAAGGGAATTTTAAACCGATATCTAAGTTTGGAAAAGGGGAGGCATTTTTACTACTACTCCCTCCGTTCATATCCATGTATGAACTCCCTTCATAAAGATACAAGGGTGGCCATGTTGTGGAATCACTGAATGTCTTTTCCCTCTTGCATTTGAAGATGAAGATGAAAATGAAGATGACAACTACCAGAATGCCAATAGCAACAATGCATCCAGCAACTAGACCCACCACAACGACGACATGGTTGTTCTTCCCAAACCCCTGCAAGCAAGATGTATCCCTATTATTTGTAATGTCCATGATCTCCACTCCGTTTAGAAAAGGGTTTCAAGCAGATAAGGACAATTTTTTGTCCTTAATATCATTAAAAATAATATTTTTATATAATAACTAAAATAGGGTATTTTTTTAGAAAATATCAAGAAAGGGCATTGTTGCTCGTCTTCCCCTTCTACCTCTGTATTCATGCTAGGGGTGTTCACGGGTCGGGTTGGGTCGGTTTATTGGGGTTTTCCCAACCGACCCGATCTGGTCGGGTTACTTGAGGTGGAAACCGAAACTGACACTGATAGGCCAAACCGACCTGGTCGGTTTGAGTTGGGTTGAGTCGGTTTGGGTCGGTTTCGGTTTTGCTCCTATACAAAAGGACACCTAATTGAATTCTAATTGTAATTGTCTAATGGGTTGCCTATTTGGTGTAAAAGATTATAGAAAGTTAGAAACTAGGATAGATTGCCTATTCTAATTGTAATTGCCTAATGGGCCTTCTAGTTCTAGTAGAAGACTAGTTATAGTTAAATAGGAAACTACTCAAACTAGGAACTACCTACTAGTTCGAGTCGGGTTGGTCGGTTTGGTCGGGTTGGGCATTCTTATGAACAGCCCTAATTCATGTGAATGGATCATAAGATTCCGACCAAGTTATAACCATAAATGCTCTTTATGTCCTAGAAACAAACTGGCGGCTGCATTTGAGTCTTTGGCTTATTTGGCGATCTCCAGCAAGGTGTATAAGGGATTCACTATTGTGTTGGTGGCACCGCGATAAGACGTGCCAAGGAAGGCGAAGACAAACTCGGGCAAGTTGGAAAGTAGAAGCATGATCACTTGACCTATAAATGAATTCCTTTTGCTTTGTTGAAGGAGCAGCTGGAGCCATTATAGTTACAGAAATAAGTTTCACAGAGAGAGAGTTCTGGTTTGAGGTTGGCTAGGATCCCGAGGTTATTGATGTCACCTTGACTAAAGAAGCAAGAAGACATTCCACTATACCACCTATGATTTTACCTAACATGATTTCTCTTGAGGACTCCGGTCATAGTTGTTGCGGCGACCTTAACCTACCACGAATACAAATACAGGCAGAAGAGGAAGACGAGCAGTAATGCCCTTTCTTGATATTTTTCCAAAAAAACTACCTATTTTAAATATTATATTATTTTTTATTGATATTAAGGGCAAAAAGTTACCCTTTATGCTAAAAACCCTTTAGAATAACAGTTTTGATAGAAATTAGGAAATGATGAAAATGGACCCTATACTGACCTTAATAGTTCTCGAATCACCAAAGTCCACCGTGAAGTCCGTGTAATTAGGAATCAACAATGCTACAGTGGTTTTAGAGAAGAGAAAGAGAAAGAAAAAGAGAAAGAGAAAGAACACGGACACGGATAAATCTTTTCACCTGCTGGGAATCTGAACATGTAGAGTTGTTCAATTAATAAATGCTCTTTCTGGCATTGGACTTCAAACCAATAAGACAAATTTCCCTTATCATTTTCGAACAGGTTACACTTACAGTATTCGTATCGATTTATAGAAGTCCATGATCTTGGACTTCTACGTACAGAAATACAACTAAAAATAAATCGGAAGTTGATTGAAGTTATTTGCTCTTGAGGAAGCCCCTACAAATCTTCTCCCATGTTCTCCTATCTGGTTCATCGGCTGTTTCCAGTCTTAATTTCGTTTGTTCGGCAAACTCTTTCTGGTAGTAAGTTGGCCCTAAATTAGTAGATGACTTGGAAGAAAGCTTTCTTGACGAGTTAATTAACAAAACTATAAATAAACATGTAAGCAGTTATACCTCTATAGAATTATTGTTGATGAGACGATCAATGAGATTGTACAGAATGTCATTGGTGTATTCTGGGTGGCCTTGAATGCCTAAAATGTGGTTTCCAAGGCTGAAAGCTTCTACTCCTGTCTTCTCCGAGGAGGCAATTACCTCCGCTCCGGCAGGGACCTCCCAAACCTGCTCCATTGTTTCTTATATTTCTTAGCAAAACAACAAGAGAGAGAGAGAGAGAGAGAGAGAGAGAGAGAGAGAGAGAGAGAGAGGAGCCATATATATACCTCATCTTGATGACACTCAATGACAGAAAGACAAGGTGGGATGTCCTTCAGATCAGCAAAAAGAACAGAAGAGGGCAGATCCCCAACATTAATCTTCACTTTCCTCACCCCAATGTCCCAACCAGTATGAGCTCTCCCTACCATTCCACCCAAAGCTCGGCACAATACCTGAAGAATAAATGGATAAAATAATTAAATATATCTTAATCTCCCAAAACAAAACAAATTATATCACATACTTGGTGCCCAAAACAGATTCCAAGCAACTTCTTCTGCATGGCTTCCAGAGTCTGAATCAGGAAACAGAGCCTCAAGACCCAAGGGTCATTTCCATGAGCATCAAAAGGGCTCCCAGTAATCACAAATCCATGGTACTGGTGAAGCTCCTCCATGTCAGGAAACTCTCCATCCACAACTCTAAACGAGTCCCACTCATCTCCTTCTTCCCCAAACGCATTAACAAAAACATTGAAGTACCCTCCATATACTTTCTTCACATAATCGGAGTCTCTCAGTGCTAACAGCACAGCATATCTCTTCCCCTTTTCAATCTTCATCTCAGAGAGAGAGAGATTAGGGGAAATAGGGTAAAAAAGAAAGCTTGGTTGTGTCTTCTTGGGGAGGAGGTGGCATTTATAAGCCTGTATGTCAAGGTCGACCTGATTAAATCATTTTTGTCTATTGTTCCCTACAGCGCACTTCATTTTTCATCACGTGGATATCATTATATTTAATCGTTTAGTATGCTACAGGCTAAAGGGGTGGCAATTTTTGACCCCACACGCCTCATTATTTGGTTTCTATATTCTAATTTTCTGATTTTGATTGGTGAATTGCAGGATCTTTCTCATATCAGTTCACTCACATTGGGAAATTACAGCTCTTTGTGTCTACAACTTATCCGATCACCCATCTCTTTTTGCCGTCTGAGTTTTCAAACCAATGAGTGATAGTGACCAAGCGTACTGGATTTCCCCATGTGAAAGAACTGGATTTCCCTCCACCCTGGAAGCATTTACTTCTGCTTTTTCACAGTGGTTGACAAGGCTAGGCTCCAGGCCTGCTTAGGGTTGCAATTTGCAATTCAGATCACCCACAAGAATGTTATCCACACCTAGCCAATGATACTATAGCTGTACATGAATGGTAACGTGCAAATACCGAACTGTATAGTGATGTGTGCATGGATAGGGTCCTTGTGTGTAGGAGATCCGAACAGGTTGGCTCGCTGCTTTGGGCCCAGGCTGATTGTAAAAATATTGTTCATCTTCTTCTTCTTGCAATCCATTCAGTAGCGCCGCCATCCGCCGCCACCCACTGCCGCCTCCACCTATCGCCACCCACTGCGTTGGGCATAGGAATGACCGTTAGCACTGCCGCTGCCGCCTCTGCTTCCGCCCACCTTTGGCAACGTTGCTAGAGGTGGAGGTGGAGGTGGGCGGAGATAGGCACAGGCATTGCCGGAGGCGGTGGCGGGCGGTGTTGATGAATGGATTGAGATAGGAAGAAGATAAACAATGTTTTTGTCTTAAATTGATATTATTTTAAAAAAGTTAACTTATTTTTGAAAATTTTTTTAAAATATTACTTTTATTAATATTAGGGGATAAAAGTTGCCCTTATCTGCCATCCAACTTGAATCAACCTAAATTGCATCCCTAGTCACATTACAGGATTGGAGACAACTTTGGTTGTCCATGTTCCACAGCCTGGGCTATCAGCAGGGCTTTTCTGTGTTGTAGGTTAGTTCACACTACAATGCATGAGTTCGGATTCAGTGGACCCTTAGGTTCACAGGGCGCGTGAACCCTCCAATAGGAGGCGTACACGTTGACTCCTGTGAGCCAACCTTAGCATAACGGCGTTTAACGTAAATTTCTTCCGTCCGGTTGAACCGGACGCTAAAAGACAAAAAAGCTTCATTAATCTCTCCCTCCCATTCTCCCATATCCAGACTATCGATCTCTCCCGTCTTCCGCCGACCAACTAATAAAGCTTCATCAATCTCTCTCTCCTCGTTTTTCTAATTCTAATTAGTCGCTCGTGGTTTTGACTGCTTTGGCATCTATAAAAAAGCTCTGTAATCCTCTTGCGGAGGAACCTTATTCTTCTGTTCCAATCAAAGAATCTCGCCATACCACCGCAATCGCCGTCTCCTCCACCTCCACAAGCCCCACAAAATTGGAGGTTAATTAAAAACAGGTGAACGTAAACGAAGGAATTCCCAGAGAGAAGAAGAGGAGGAGAAGGCCGCAAAAGCCATGGTCGATTCCTTATAAGTAATTGATTGTTGAATATTTGAATGAAACTCTCCTTCTCTAGCACACTCCATTCTTCTTACCATATCAAATATCCCCACTTCTCTCTCTGAAGTCTGTCTCACTCTCTTCCGTCTCTGCATGTCGATCGCAGACCTATGACCTTTCTCCTAAACAAAGCCAATTACAACAATATCCGTACATAGTTTACCTCCCATTCTTTCTCGCTGTCTGTCTCATCTTTCTCTTCACTCACTGCACACACTATGAGGAAGACGAGAGGTTTCAAGTTGGGCCGCAAGCTGGTTAAGGTGTTTAGATGGGTAGTCAGGCCGAATCGAAAGCCAGCTGGCTACCGCCGGTTGGAGTTGGATCCTCCGAGTTGCAAAAGCAAGGCAATATCCAAAATTTGCAACTGGGGGTAATTGCCTGAAGCGAGGGGCGAAGGGACTCTGCTCTTCCAACAAGTCATCAGCCTCCGGCTACAGTCGCTGTGATCGGGAGGCATTGGAAGATAAACCGGTGCAAGTGCCGAAAGGACACATGGTGGTATACGTGGGTCAGAAAGACGACGGTCTTCATCGGTTCTTGGTGCCGGTTATCTACTTCAATCACCCTTTATTCACAGACTTGTTGAGGGAGGCCGGGGAGCATGGGTTCCACCACCCAGATGGGATTACGATACCATGCCAAATAGCTGAGTTAGAAAGCATACAAACGAAGATCGCCGGCTGAGAGAAATCCGTCGGAGCTCCGTGAAATAATGCGGACGCCGCCAGTGGTCTTATATTCTTGAGCTAGGGCTCGAATGAAAAATGGGAAACAGGGAGTTCAAACGAAGAGGGAAAGTTTGGCTTTCTTGATTTACCGCCTAGTTGGACCACGCTAAGAAGGAAAACGGCGAATTCAGCGTTACTTAGAGTAACGGAATACAGGAGAGCCGAAGAGGCGACGTGCTACCCTCCTATTGGAGGGTTCACACGCCCCGTGAACCCAAGGATCCACCGAATCCGGACTCACAGTGCATCGGTACCGTTATACTTATAATCCCAGTTTTAAAAACTGAGACAGAAAGAGAACCGCTTTGACCAATAATTTTTGGGTCAGTGGTTCCATCATATGGGCCAAATATTTGACCTCTCAGGGTAAAAAGGATGCATCACATATATTTATGAGAAAAGAGAGGAGGAGGTGGCTGTCGGTTGGGAAAAGAAAGGGAAAAAAGAAAAAGAAAGAAAAGAAGGAAAGAAAGAAGTAAGGAAGAAGGATGAAGGAGGAAATGATGATTTTCTGGTGATGACAATAGCGGTGGCAGGTGTGGCAACAACAGATCTGAACTCAGATCTCGCAGTTCTCTCTCTTCTTAGTGATCTCAGAAGTGGCCATGAGAGAGAGATATTCTCAAACACCAACCTTATCTGGTGTTTGGCCACTCAATTTTGTGGGATGGTAGATATTCTCTTGCAATAGTGCCATACTAAAATATGATATATATATATATATATATTGCGTTAATAGGTTGAAGATGGAAAAGCCATTTTGGGAACTTTTGGCTAAAAGGCCATTTTTGCCCTTAAACTATGATGGAAAGGCCATTTTAAAGCTAAAATAGATAGACTTTAGAGATGTTGTTGATAGATTCGTTAGAAAACAAACAAAATAATAAAGCATGCTGACGTGGCATTACTCAAATTTGAAAAGGCCGTTTTAGTCCCAAACTTTGAAAAACCTATACTTTAATAAAGTTAATAAAGTAAATTACTTCAAGGTCTACGATGGTATAAAGTTTATTAAGTATAAATTAAATATATTACACTTAGTATGATAATTAAGTAAATTAAGTCAATTATGTAAACTAAGCAATTGAATAAGTAAATTAAGTTAATTAAGTAAATAAATAAATAAAGCTAATTGATCCAAATAAGTAAATTAAGTCAATTAAGAGAGGTTTAAAAAATTGACCTGAAAATTGAACTACTTTGGCCACCGGTTTCTAGGTCAACGGTTTGACCGTTTGATCTAAATGGGTCATCCCATGATATTTTGAAAAATAAAAAATAAAAAATAATTACAACAAAAATGAGCTGAAAACCCTTCATTGGGTCGAACAATTTAGTGGTTCAACTGTTTGGGTCAGTGGTTTGTTGACCAAGTGTAAGGGGATAGACTTATATAATACTAAAGTATCATTGCAGACTAACTACAATAACAAGACTACAGGTTTCATGTTAGTGTGACTAGTAATACTCACCTAAGAAGAGGAAATCTTATAAAGGAAAGGTTGGACAGATTTTTCTTTTCTACCGACTGGAAAGCTTGTTGCCTGGAGGCTCATGTCCTAAATGACTTAATGGTGGGATCTAATCTCAGTCCGGTTATTCTCAACTGTAGTCATCAAGTTAGGAAAGGTAAAAGACCCTTTTGTTTCGAATCAATTTGGCTTACTCACCGCGAATGCAAGGAAAATGTTCATAGAGCCTGGACTTGCCTGAACCCTGGGAATTTTGATGAGGGCCAAATTCTAGATAGGAAGGTGAGAACTTGTCAGAGATACCTTAAAGACTCGAACATTAGGTCCTTTGGGAAGGTACACCAAACTATAAGCCAACTCAAAGAAGAGCTTCTTTCTTTACAATGTCAGCCCCCCTCAGAGAGTAACAGACATGAAGAAGAGAACCTCCACAACCAACTTAGGTTGACTCTTAAGAATGAAGAAGCACTATGGAGGTAGAAATCTAGAATTCAATGGTTAAAAGAAGGCGATCTAAACACTCGTTTCTTCCATCAAACTACATTGATCTGATGCTAGTCCAACAAATTTACACCCTGAAAAGCCATGGCAGTTCTTGGACTCAAAATTCAGAAGAAACAGCCCATGAGATAACCTCCTACTTCTGTAATCTTTTCACATCTATAGGATCCTCTAGTAATCCTCGAATTCTAGAACTAGTGACTCAAAAGATAACTCCAGAAACAAACTCTCTGCTCTCCTTACCTCTAACTTCAGAGGAAATATAACGGACTTTGTTTTTTATGAACCCTAACAAATCTCTAGGCCTAGACGACTTTTCAGCTTTGTTTTATCAATCTTTTTGGAGTGAGGTGGGACCCGATGTCATCAAAGCTGTACAACAAGCCTTTAGTGATGCCAAGGTTAGCTCGGAAATGAATAAAACAAATATCATTCTGATCCCCAAATTGCAAAGGGCAACAACCATTGCTGATTATAGACCAATTAGCTTAACCAATGTGAGATATAGACTCTTTGCAAAATGTCTGGTGAACAGAATCAAAGGCATAATGCCGGAATTAATTGATAACACTCAAGGAGCTTTTGTTGATT